TAAGCGCCTACCTCAGTGACTAATGACCACAAAGATGCCTGTAACTTTTGTTTCTGGTTTGATTATTTTATGCCCATGCAAGACCTTCACAGTATACATTCATGTATTTGCTCCATTTATTCTTTTGGTATAAGTCCATATTATTGACTTTAGATTCATCCGGGATGGCCTACTTCATATCAGTATAGTTATTTTATGTACCAGTAATATGTATAGTAAGATCTTCTCCCGAAGAACTCCAGCCATTACGCATTGTTTTAGCAAGCAGGAAATTCTGTACTTGGTGGTTCTTGCTGATCCAGCTAAAGAGGCCGAATGACGCATTTCACTTTCAGGGGCCATTGCTGGGTTTTGATAGTCCCTGTACTATAAATAGCACTTCAGGGAACACGGAGGTACAGTGAACATTTTTTTTTTTTGTAGTTTAGCTCAATGTTTGCAGAAAGTCACATGCTGTCTGGTTCAGCACAAGTCGCTTGCCCCTCAGTGCCTCCTAAGTTCTAGACAGACCCACCCCGAGTGTTCAGTTGCTCATAAACACAGCAGTAGCTCTCAACATACTTTTGTGCCTTTGTTGATGCTGCTTTCTCTGCCTGGCAAAACCCTGCTTATCCTTTAAGATTCATCTTGAGTGAGAAAGCTTTGAGTCAGCTTGGCAGAAATGCTTTCTTATACTTCTGTAGAATTCTCTGTAGCATTTGAAGCATACCTACCTGTTCTACAGCAATTTTAGCATTACATTAGCGTCTGTTACATAAGTATATATGTTCACACTCTCCTCACATCACATTGTGAATGCTAAGGCCCGTGACTTCTGTGTCCTTGTATCTATCCCCAACAGTAAGCATAGAAAACGCTCAGCAGAATATATTGAGTGAATGGCTGATTGTGTGAATGAATGAAATTGCATCCAAATAAGGGAATAGAGTAGGATTCCTTTGAGTTTGTTCCCAGCTTAATGCCTTTAAAAATAATTCTGTGTGTAGCTTGGATTTTTCTATTTTCCTTAGCAGACACCCTCTACTATGTGCATGGCCAATTTCACACTGGAAAAAAAATGTTATATTTAAGTACACTTCAGGGAGTTAAACAGTTTTTTTTCTTTAATTTCAAAGGAACAGTCTAGCTTTTTTTTCCCTCATAGACCTCTTGCATCTCTTTTTCTACATGCCCTCTTTGCTCTGCCCAGTCTTCAGTCAAATTCCTCCAAAGGGTTTGCTGTAAACAATGATTTTGTAAGCAGTTGTGTGTTCTCTGCAGTGAAAACCCTCCTTGTTTTCTGTTGCTAGGCAACCCCATTCCAGCTGCCCTTGAAGAAATGTGCGGTGGTGGGAAATGGTGGGATTCTGAAGAAGAGTGGCTGTGGCCGTCAAATAGATGAAGCAAATTTTGTCATGCGGTAAGAGAGAGCACCCACGACGGGGCCTCGGCCTTTTCTCCTTTTACCCACCCCTCCCGCAGCCCTGGGGCCTTTCAAAACTAGTCACTTGTAATTAATCAGTTGTAGCTGCTTTTTAGCTTCCCTTCAAGTTCATATACAACTGAGTTCAGGAGAGGGCCATGGGGGCAAGGGAACGTGCCCCAAGAAAGTACAAAGCCGAGAAAGGCTCAGAGGCTGTGGGCAGACCCCACAAGTAGAAACACACAGATTTTATCTTAGATTACACATTTGGGTGATTAAAACTTGAAACCTTGTTCTGAAGACTAACTGTCTATGAAGGAACATTTTAATGTATTCATTTCATTCTATACCCTTTTACTCGTTTTTCACAAAAACATTTGTAAGTAGCAAGTGGGATTGGAAGAGGGATTTGATCTGTGCCTGACTGGGAAAACTGGAAGGAAGGAGGAGAGTAAATTTTGAGCAAGGAAGAAGCTTGGAAAAACGAATGAGCAGAGTGATGATGTGTCCATCACTTGCAGTGAAAACAGGAGGCTTCTGCAGTGGCATGTAAAGGAGCTGCTGAGACAATGTCTAGCCAAGTCGGGGAGACCATCAAACTGTAGTGGCACCAACCTGCACTGTTTGGTGATTTTGACCAGAAGTGACGACAGCAAGTGATTGGATTGACCAAGTTTGGGGTTATCTGGGTGAAAGGGAAGAAGGATGGGGAGTGACAATATGGAAGGCCCTGGTTAGAGAGCGTGTGAGGTGACACACTTTGAAGTCTGGGCTGGACAAGAAGTGGGCCTGAAAGGCATTAAGGAGAAAGGAAGAGAGCCTAATGGAGCCAAATGATAGTCAGAGCCTGGAGGGAGCAGGTGGTAAGGATGAGGGACAGGTGGACTAATAAGAGCTAAAGTCAAAGACTAGCCGGCTGGAGTACATAATTTTAGAGCTTAGCTTCTCTGAGGATGCTCAGACACGTTGTAGAAACAGAAGACATTTGTTACTGAGGTAATGAAGGAAATACGAGGCTAGACTGTGGAGAGAGTCTTTCAGTTGGGCTCCAAAGTCTCTCTGAAGTGGGGATGATGATGAACCAGATGACAAAACGCTCTGGGGCCAAAAAGGTTGAGGCCCAAGCAACACAGAAAAAGGAAAGTTGAGCAAAGGAGAAAGGGGAGTTTGGTTTTTGTGTTCATTTTTAAGGGTAATAGGTAATGGTCTAAATGGCAAAAGGGAGCTAAGAGAACATTGAACCACCTCTGAGCTCTGAGCTAAGTGGAATAGGGGAGTAAAGACTATTTCAGGGGGAAGCCATGTACATGAGGGAGGGCCAATTCCCTCTCAGAGAATGAGAGTTGGGCTTCTTGAAAGACTTTTTATCTCACTAGTGGAGCCTGCAGCAGGATGGGGAGATCCTTCTATATCTATCTTTCCTCCAGGGAGATGCCCTGTCATAGTTTTTCTAGTGTAGGACTGCATTTTCCTCTCCTTTGCAATTATTATTATTTTTCTGGCAATATATACAAACAGTAAAAAAAATGGAGAAGATAAAAATATAGTTCTGTTCATTCAAGTCAATATAATTTCTCTGTATTGAGCACCTACACTGTGTTGGGACTTAGCTAGGTCTAGAAATGGCATGCTGAATGATTTTGTCTTGCAGACGTGCTAGTGCTGTTATGGGGCTAATTCAGAGACAGAGAGCAGAGGGAGCCAGGACTTTCTGAGGAAAAGTGGTGTCTGGGCTGAACCATTTCACTCTGGGCACAGGAACGGCCTTTTCCAAGACTTCAATGTAGAAAAGACACCAAGTGTTGCCCCAGTGTCATGACCCATGGGAGTGGTGTGAGGTGGGGCTGGAGATATATTTGAGTATAGGAGTGGATACAGTCGCCTAGAGAACACAGACAGAAGAGAAGAGCAGAGACCCAGGGCCAAATTCAGGCACTCACTTCAATACGCTCAATACGTTGGTGTTAAGTAGAGGCTAAGAAGCCAGCAAAGAAAGCAGAGAGGTAGGAGGGCAGGTCCTAGCCACAAACTAGCTCTGTGATCTACAGGGAGTCATTTTACTTTTGCTGGGGCTGAACTTGCTTACCTATGTGAGAAGGTGGGAGCAGGCAATTCCTCAAGCCTTCCCGCTGTAGGAATCCTGATTCTGTCTGTGATTGTATGAATGCCATATAATTGTAACACAGTTCATGTAGTCTAGTTTAAATTTTCAAATTGTTCTGTATTATAAATTTATTTGCTCTTTCCAAAAACTATGTAAGGAAGGAATGGATGGTATTATACTCACAGATTCAGGGAAGTTAAGTGACTTCAAGAGGCCTTAATATGATGTAGAAAGAGGCAGTACAATGAATGTGTTTTTATATTATTCTTGAGTGTGTTTGTGTGTGTCACTACATTTAGGAAGATGGATATTTTAAACTTAACATGTGGAAGACTAGGACTAAGCATTATAGGGGGTTATCGATCTAGTGGGGCCATATTTATCATAAATAAGAACAAGTTTGCATTGTATGCAATCTGGTGTTGACATATTCAAGTTCAGAATTAATGAATTCTTGTGATTAGAGCGCCCAGCGTAATATCAAGCATGATGTTGATCAAAGGATGAGGGCAGCGAGGATTGAAAAGAATTCAAAGAAGGTGGCATCATAACTAGAGCTATATGTGCATGTGACTTTGATTTAATTTCAAGAGTAGTGCTAGTTTCATAATATATTTGAATTCTTTTTTAAAATTTTTATTGGGGAATTGGGGGAAGGGGAACAG